TTAGAAGAAGGCACCGGTCGTAAACCCCACCAAAAAGGGCGAAAGAACAGGAAAATAGTGGGATGGATACGAGCCACCGGAAGTGTCGGTGGACGTATGTACCGACTGATTGTTAGAAGAAGGCACCGGTCGTAAACCCCACCAAAAGGGCGAAAGAACAGGAAAATAGTGGGATGGATACGATCCACCGGAAGAGCGGCCATTGGGAACACGGGCTCGCTCTGCCCGAAAGATACGCGGGCCGTGGAAGTGCGTTGACTCGTCAGGGTTTACGACCGGGGCCCGTCGGTCGCCTTCGGTAGTAGAGAACCGTTCCATTGCCAGCTCTCAGTAAGCTTTGTTAGCTAGACAGAATCATCCACCCAGACGAGCATGGTCAACTGTTAACAAGAGCTACCCTCGTCCTCACGCCGTGGTTAATATCGGGTGCGTTGGAACTGCAGCAGGAGAGAAACTATAGAAAGAGATCCATCGAGCACAGTTGCACTATGTTCTGTAGAAAAACTTGGCTTCAGAGCCCAGACACAACGGATTCTCCTGGTTCGTTGAGTGGTCTCGCACACAACTTAGTGTTATGTCTCAAAAGTTATAATATTTTTGCGCCATCTTTGGGTAGCGATAACCGCGTACATCAGCATGGACAGCCTCTCCGATCGTACCCTGCTCGCTCCACCCCGTTCGAAGTCGCAGGTCATCCTTGTCATGTCGTACAATGTGGCTTGCTTTGAGAAGCATAACTCTAGCAACGCATCGACTCGCACTGCTTCGGGACGCTCCAACGGCAACTCATCTGAATACGTAGTATCTGTCTCTACCAACGCTGTTACCGGTGCCAACCCGGTAGCCGGATGCTGTTCCGACATGGGGCCGTCACATACAGCCAGCATTTACAACACACAAGGTCAAAGAACTCTCCCTCGAACTCGGTCCCCCCATCCAAGGTACCTGTACCACCGCCTGTACCAGTGTCTAAACACCTCTGCTCCCGCCGCCAGGAAACGCGCGGCATGATCGATCACAACTATCAGGTGATATACCTCGCCTCCTACTGACCTCCGACCAACCAGATCTAGCTAAACAAGCTGCTTGAAGCGATCCCTGTCCAGAATACCCAGCACCTGTGCGGCCCCAGGCGCAGTAAACAACCGACGACACAACAGGCAGTTCCTGCAGAAATCTTCTCCTTGGTAACTCCGGGCTACCGGTCATTTGGTCTCTTCTGCATTCCAACGGAACATGCACACCTCCACTTCGATTCCTCACCCAGGCAGTTCGGTCCCCGCGCCCTCGCATCTTGACCGGTCCGCGCCACCACCTCGCCAACTTCCCTTTCGTCGAGTTAGCCAAGTACAGCAAGTTTTCGTGATCAGCCTTTTTCGGAAAAGGAGCAGCACACAAGTAGTCTTGTCACCTTTCCGTGAATAACCGTCTAGCACACAGCTCCCTTCTCGTGTGTCCCACCTCTGTTGACATTCGTCCAATTCCCTGCTGCCGAATTTGACCGGAACACTTCCCTACTTTTGTCTCTTTTCTGGGATTGCACCAATCGACCTATCGCTCGCGTCGGTCGTGAGCTCAAACCCACCCGCGACCTTCAGCGCAGTCAACAC